GGGCCATACCAAGGTGCATCCTCTTCCTGCCCTTGTGGTGGGGCAGCAGCATGGGCTCGAACTCCAGGTCTGGGACGATCATGGGCTCGATCCGATACGCCACCGGGTCAAACTGCACACAGGAGAGGACAGTGGGCACTGCTCTGCTCCCCGTGCCTCWCACAGGGGGCTCTGCCTCTGATACCTACGGGGTGGAAGATGTTGAAGAAGCCCTTGCAGGTGGGCAGGCTGTAGCTGGGGTCGATGCGCTTCACTCCTCGCACCGTCAGGAACATCCCGATGGGAGAGCCRAAGGCAAAGAAGATGGTGGGCTTGTAGTTCAGCTGGGGGTAGTTTGCTGAGACCTGAGAGAGGAAGAGGATCTGGTTTGTGCCCCAGAAATCTCTGTGCTGGTGTTCTGAGGGCTTTGTGAGCACAGCCAGAGCTCAGCTTTACCTGTCCTAAGCCAACATCCCGGTACTGACAACTGCCACCATTGTCTGTGCTGTGCCCGGGCTGGGATGGGGACCCCAACCTGTGCCCAGGAACTGCTGAACTCTGATCCTGCAGAGCACAAAAGGGTCCTTGTGTCACTGGGATGGCATGGGATGGGATCCATGGGATGGGATCCATGGGATGGGATGGGATGGGATCCATGGGATGGGATGGGATGGGATGGGATCCATGAGATGGGATCCATGGGATGGGATCCATGGGATGGGATCCATGGGATGGGATGAGCACGAGCCGTGCAGAAAACAAACCTTCATCTCAGTCCTGGCGCTGATGTAATGGAGTATTTTCATTCTTGGTCCTAAGGGAATTCCCATTTCTTGAAGGTTTTTCTCTGTGCACAAGAACTGGAAAATAAGCAAGGAGCAGAGGTGTGATGAGTTGTGTGTTGTGTGGGATTCTGTTCCTCCTCAGGGATGTTTCATGTGGGACTCGGTACCAGAGGATSTGCAGTGATGGGGAAGAAGAACAAAGAAAAGCCACAAGAGCCAGTAAAATGGGGAAACTTCTCACCAGAGCTTGCCTGTCCATCTTCTCCTTTTCAAAAACATCACAATACTCAGACAGCTCCAGCTCCTTCAGGATTTCTTTGACTTCCTCAATACCCCCAGYACTCGAGGTTGACATGGACTCCTGTGAACAGATCCAGAAGGGATTGTGCTTTCTGCTCCTGGGAAGTTGGGGTCTCCTCTGTCCCCACACAGCAATGAGGGGTCAGTGCCTCCTGTACCTGTGCACGGTGCTCMTCCTCCCCCTCGGGATCTGCCTTCTGGTTTGTCAGGAGATCAAATAAAATGAGWGACCCTGGAAACGAGCAGAGCATCAGCATCTGCAGGGGAACAGCCTGAACCACCTCAGCTCTGGGACAGGAGAGCTGCACTCTGGACATTTTATACCAGCAGACAGTGATAGGACAGGACCAATGGCTTTAAATCCACAAAAGCACAGGTTTGATCAGAGTCAGGAAGAAATGRTTTACTCAGTGGGAAGCACAGCTTCTCCAGAGCAGCTGTGGCTGCACAGCCCTGGAGGTTGGGACAGGGTTTAGAGCAGCCTGGATCCAGTCCCAAATGTCCCTCCCAGCCCAAACCCAAACC